CTCTTGGCAGGTCTTGCAGTCGGTTCTGTCAAACTTCTACAATTAATCCAAAATGCCGCTGCAAGATTAATCTTTAATGAGCCGAAAAGAACGCATGTCACACCTCTGTTCATCAATTTGCACTGGCTACCAGTAGCTGCTCGCATTAAATTCAAGGCATTCATGTTTGCCTACAAAACCACCACTGGTTCTGCACCCATTTACCTAAATTCATTACTTCAGAGTTATGTGCCTCTAGAAGCTTGCGTTCTGCTAGTGAACGACGCATTATTGTTAATCTCAAAGAGGCACAAAATCACTTTCACAGACTTTTTCATTAACTGTTCCCTCCTGGTGGAATGACCTGCCCAAATCAATCCGAGCAGCTGAGTCCTTAACCATCTTCAAGAAACGACTAAAAACACATCTTTTGAACAGAATGGAGATGTGTACATTTTTCTTATTTTGCCTAAATATCATATTGTTTTCATTTAGTACGGCCCTTCAGAGGCTACATAAGATACTTGCATGTTTCCCAGAAGACAAAATAAGTTACATTTACCCTGATCTTCAAATTCAAAAAGTTTGGAATATCGCATAAAAAAAAACGCTGGATGGAAACGGCAAGATGCGCATAAATTCTAAAAATGTTAAATTCTAAAAAAAAAACATATGCGCACATTTGAGTAGGATAAACTTTTTATCGGATAAGAAAAAATGTGCATAAACTATGATGGAAACACATTTGCTGAATAAATTCCTCCATCGTGACTCCAAAAAGTCATGTGACTTTGCGCTATGACGGGATAACTTGACTAGCAGCGCTCCGATCTCCTTCACAGCATCTATATGTTGTTATGATCGTTCTGAAATATCTGAGCAAAGTCTGTCGTCAAAGTATTTCTGTATAATCGTCTTACACGACTGCGTTCCCAAACAACAGCATCAGCCTCCGAAAGCAACGACTGCATTTATTGTGTTTCGTCTGCTCGCTCTGAAGCGCAAGTCATTTATCATATTTGAAAATTATTATATTCAGTGACTTCTCCTATATTCTTAGTGATATTTAGTGCCACAGTTTACCAGGAAGTGACGATTTTGTTAACGGAACATTCATTCGGAGTTATCTTGTCGTTAATAATGTTCTCAAAACGTTAGCATAAAAATGTTATTTATTCATCCCAGCCCCCAAAAAAAAAAAACTAACGTTCCCATTAATTTTTGGAAACGTTATTTCTAAATGTTCTCTGAACGTTCAAAACGTCCAGTTTTTTGAACGTTTTAAAAACGTTCGTTCTTGGTTGTGTGAACGTTAAGGGATCATTCCGTTTTATCATATTGAAAGCATTATAGAAACGTTATTTTTGAATGTTTCCTGAACGTTCTGAAACAAG